CATATATATATATATATATTACACTTATAAATCATAAAACTTGTAATTAGGATATTAATAAGGAAATAGCAGATCATGTAACTTTTGGAATAATCCATCAATTTTTTCAAATTAAACACTATCTACAGATTTGCATCGAAGTGTTTTAATCACTGTCTTATATCATCTACACTGAGCCCAATTATGTCACTGTGCTGGGTTTTGTTTCTAATGTTTTTATTTCAAACATTATATTTTTTAGAGTTACATGCAGCGAATGATTTCACCAGTTTACAGTCGTTTTCGAGATATGTCTGAAGAACTAAAAGGATACGAACCCGTTCTTTTTAAAAATCATGTAATATCAGAAGCTTGTCGGAACCGAATGAAGGATTGTTCAGATCAAGCCTTGTCGCTATTTAGGAAATGGATGGAGTTAAGAGATTTAAATGACGAAGATAGTACCAATAATATGTAAATACCTAGGTTACATAATTTATTAATTCTATATAAAAAAACGCGTTCTATTATATTTAGAATACCAAAAGAGCTTAAAACAAATATTTATTGTCAAGCAGTTAAGTACGGAAGTATGGAAGAATGGGACTTTTTATGGGAAAGATACCTGCGATCAAATGTGGCTACTGAAAAAGCTAAGTTACTTTCAGCATTGGGATGTAGTTCTGAGACTTGGCTACTTAATAGGTGAAATAATTTTATTTTAAATAATAAACATTTTTTTTTCAATATTGAAATTATCGTATAGATATTTGAATTGGACAATCGGAGAAAATTCTATTATTCGTAAACAAGATGCAATTACTGTATTTTCTTCAGTCGCTAGTGGCGATGTTGGATTTTATGTAGCAAAAGACTTTTTGTACCGAAGAATCGACGACATCTACAAATAGTGAGTTAAAGAAGTTAATTCAAATTTATTTTTTATTTAATTTAAGCTTGGGCGTTTTGAAATAAATGTTAATCAATTTTATTAATTCATAATTTAATATTTTTTTTCACTAGTTTCCAACCCCGAGGTGATAGAATTGGTAAATATGTAAGCATAATCGGATCACAAATGAAGACTAAAGAAGAATTAATTGAAGTACGTACTATATTAATTTAGTTTTAATGTTAAAGTCAATTAATACTGTAATCAAAATCAATTATAGATTCAAAATTTTGTAAATAACAACAAATTTTACTTAAGAGAAGCTGATATATTGATTAAGCAGACCATTGAAACAGTTTCAGCTAACGCTAATTGGACCGACACATTTTACAACAAAATTATTAGTCATTTAGTAACATTTTAAAATTAATTAAAGTTGTTCGACGTCTGACTTATTTAAATATTTATACGAGGTTGACAAGTATATTAAAAGGTAGTCAATTTTTCTATAAATAAATTATTTATTTTTACTTACTTACACAACATATTTCGTTTTTGTAAGACAAGTGATTTTACGGTTTGAATCAAACCAAATTAAAAAAAAATTAAAATCACAAAACATTTTTTACTTTGTCAAAAACTATCTTTTAATTTTATTATTTATACATCTATGTACATATACTACATGCCTGACTATCATTATATAGTATAAAAAATATTTTAATTACTAATAAATACATATATTTTTATGAATCTTTTGTAAATTTTTTTATTTGAAGAAGACTTGATTATTAGGAAATATTTTTTAATTTAACTAAATAAATAATTTTCCTATTAGATTTGTCTCAACTTATTTCTTAACAAATACATTTTTATTTATCTACAAAATAATCTAAATTGTCAACAATTTTTATTATTATTAATTATTACATAAAATATTTTTAAAATAAAGCTCCTTTAAAATTCATTTTTTTTTTTGATCAATATAAATTTGTAAGGCTTTTTATTACCATTTAAAACATAATTAGTATAATATACTAAATAATTTACTATAATAAATTAACATTATTTAATATTATTAAAGAATTTAGTTTTGATACAGTTAACATCATCATTTCTACATATTACATGATGTTATTGTAATTTTGATTCATTGATGGAGACAATGATGCTACATTAATCGGAAGTCGGCTGTCGTATAAAGATGGTGCCTGTAAAATTATTCCAGCTGATCCTACAGTTACAGCCAATGTAAATATCCACAAAAACAATCTATCCAATACCATTGCAACATACTTCCAATCTTCTTTAATCTAAACTTAAATTAATCTTTTATGAATATATTAAAAGTTAGAATAATCTATGTAACCTTTTTTTCTTCTTCATCTCTTCTTATATAATCAGCGATAAAGCTTGCACTTCCAACTGCTTTATGGAGCCCAGGAAATTCTTGCCATTTTTTCTTGCCTTTAGATTGTTGAATATTTAGTTGTGATTCAGTTGGACTAGGTAGATCAACTATGGGACCATGAATCTCACAACATCTAATTATTCCACTTTCTAAATCTCTTTAAAAAAATAATGCTAGTCTTTAAAATAGTTTTCTTAGATATTAATAAAATTAATAATACCTGACAGAAAATACATCAGTGCTGTTCATCGAATCAGGTGAATTTATTTTTTGACAATTTTTCATCATAATTCGGTGACTATCACCCATTAAACTGATAAAATGTATACATATTTTAATTAAACAGAGTTATTAATTTACTCTAGTTAATCAATTTCTCTTAAAACAATAGTTTTTTTTGGCTTTTGTTAGTTAAATATGTATCTATTTATTTGTTATAAAATGTTTTTTTATGTTCATCTTTTATGTCTTATTGGAGTTTCAACTTTATTTTTTTTTAAAGGCAACATTTGTATTTAACAACTTTAGGATAAATATTTCAGAAATTATTAACATTTTTTTTTTTACCTAGGCGGAGGAGGAGTAACAAAATAGCTGCACACACTCCGTATATCCAGACATTACTTCAAATTATTAATAACTTTTGAAATACTAGTACAAAAATTGTTTCCATTTAAAAAATTTAATTGATACCCCTATAAAACATAAAAAAACATTTTATAACAGATAAATAGAGATACATGTTTAACTAACAAAAGTAAAAAAAAAATTATTATTTTAAGAGTAATTGTATGGCTAACCTTAAAAGAATCACACTAGTTATCATAGCGAAAATAAACTGGTGTTTGGGGACAAATTTAGTGTTAAATTAATTATATGTATTTATCGTTCCAAAAAAACATATTAAAGTGCGGAGGAAAAATATTAAAATATACCATTAGCCCCTCAACATTTTTATTATATTTCCACCTATGCATCATTGACAAAATTGGTGAAATCATTTTCAGAATTTACTTTCAATTTAGCCTTTTTACTTAACCCTACGTCTCACAATGTTATTCATATTTAATTATATTTGATGTACATATTTTTTTAATTAATATTTAATGTCGGGTAGTTCTTTCTAAATTTACCTTTCTCTTTCTATTTGGTAATGCGGTCTTCTCATGATTAACATTCTAGGCAAAATGTGAATAAATACTCTTCGGACCCAAGGTGACATAACGTGAGTAGTGGGTGAGCGAAAATGAATATTCAAAACAACAACTGTTACACATATGCTGTAAAGTTAATATAAAACTTGAAATCTTTATTTATTATTCCTTATATTCAGTTTACCTGAGAGTATCGAGTATCATCGTAAACAAAACAAATTTTCCCAATAATGGAACGACTAATGACGTAGGAGGTATAATTTCAGCTAATAGAAGAAAAAATACGGTCAATGATAAAAGGACAGAAATACTTAGGGTTACCTAAAAAATATGTATATTTAATTAATTTTTTAAAAAATCATTCTATTGTTTGACTTTTACTAGATATTTTTTATAAAGAGTTACTTTTTCATTGCTGTCAGATGGAAGATAAAATACAAATATGGTGAGGAATGATATTCCTAAACAAGGTATAATCAAATTAACTGTATAAAATAATGTTTTTCTACGCATAGTTATATTGAAAGTAATATCTAAATACGGCTCATCACAACAGGTGTAATATTTTTCATTTCTGGAAAAAACGATATGTTCAGTTATTCTAGGTGTTGTTACAAATATCCTGTGTTTTATTTAGTTCTAAAACTAACCATATTATTTTTACGACTTTTAAATTAAATGTAAAGATCTTAAAGTCTTTTATTGATGATTAAATTATTAAATAAAATAAGGCCATTGTCATAAAAAAAAAAAAATCTTGTACGTGTACCACGTACAATATAATTTTATTTTCTAAGAATTATTATACAAACATATTTTGTTAAGTATGAAAAAAACAATAAACGTATTCACGTGAGTTAAAAGAAAAAACACGTTTATTGTTAAGTATATATCTTCTTGAATAACCAAATCAAGTGCTTATAAAACAAAGTATAGAAATCAACAAGTGTCTACCTTATTGCTGGTACTTCCAAGATATCCCACTCTACTGAAGTACAGAATTCGGATAAATCTACTCCAACATCAACAACTCTTGATTCATTGACCTCATCAACATGTCTTAAATCAACCTACAACGATATCATTTTCTATCAATAATAATGTATATTTATATAAATTAAAAAAAATAAAAATGAAAACAATCTAAATTTTCATTTGCACATATAAGTTTACAAGATAAGTTCTTCTTTTTCTTTATCCAAACTACCCAGTGTGCCTAGGTGTGGATTTTTTATTTATAAACGCGTAATATACGATGGTTATATTAGTTATTTGAAATTAATTCATCAAATGGTCAATCCATGTTTTACCAACGATGATATGTTTGGTAAAATTAGATTAATCGTTAAGCGAATAATCCATTGGTTTATAATGCACTTATTAAATGGTAAAATTCAACCGTAAATATGCAATTTGTTAAACGCTATTTAAACGATCAGTCAATACAGTTATAATATCAGAGTTGAATAATTCAACTTGAATATTATAAGTGAATAAAAGCATTATAACTGATAATAATTATCTTATTAGCTTCGATGCGAAGCTGAGGAGGTATTGGTTTTACTAAGATGTGTTTATTTTTTTAGCTTCGATGCGAAGCTGAGAAGGTATTGGTTTTACTAAGATGTGTTTTTTTTTTTTTTTTTTGTGTCTGTTACCACTTTTTCTAAGCTCTCACCGAACCGATGTCTTTCAATGATACGTCAAAAGATCACAAATCGTATCTAGTCGAAGAAATTACCCTCAAAAATTGAAAAAAAATCCCTCGTTCCCCGTAAATGGTGGAAACCTCCAAAAAAATTACAAATTTAAAAATCGCTAATTTTCAAAATTTTTTCAATTTTTTTTACTAAAAACTGCCATAACTTTTTTAAAAATGAACATATGAATATAATTTTTTTTTTATAGATGCTTGATGTCTTTACCTTTCATTTGGTATATTTTTTTGTTATATCTGATCCTTTAACTGTCCACAGCAGGGATTTAAAATGACAACTTTTTTACAAAAAATTAACTTTTTCAACTTAACTTTTGAAAATGTTCCAGAAGGTCTGACATTTTTATATATATCTTAAATTAAAGCTAATGTAATATACTTTATTATGAAAAAAAAAAATTTCGGACTTTATTTTATCTTCATGGTGAAAATGGCTACCAAATGCTATTTTCGTGTGAAAATTTTCGATTTTGTATTTTACATTTTTAACTATAAAATGCTATAACTTTTTGAAAAATGTATGGATCAACACAATTTTTTCATGAGAAGTAGTATTTATGTACATCTTTTATTCGACATACTTTTTTTTAAATCGGACTATTTCCCTATATACAAGGTGGGTTTAAATCTTAAAAATGCATGTAGAAAGTAGAACTTTTTCAACTTAACTTTTGAAAATGTTCCGGAAAGTCTGACACTTTTATATATATCTTAAATTGAAGCTTATGTAATATACTTTAATTTAAAAAAAAAATATTTGACCTCTGGACTTGTCTTCACGGCGAAAATGGCTACCAAATGCTATTTACGTGTGAAAATTCTCGATTTTATTTTTTATTTTTTTAATTTTATAATGCTATAACTTATTGAAAATTGTATGGATCAACACAATTTTTTATGAGAAATAATATTTTTTAATAATCCCTTTTTCATTCGACATACTTTATCTTAATCAAGATATTAATAAGGAACTAGCAGATCATGTAGCGTTTGGAATAATACACTAATTTTTTAAATTAAACACTATCTAAAGATTTGTATCGAAGCGTTTTTTATTGATAGTGATTTTAATCACTGTCAGATATCATTATACTTAATCCAACTATGCCATGTCACCACATTGCCGTGAGCCCCCTGTGCTGGTTTTTTTTTTTTTTTTGTAGCCTTTATTATAATAATAATCAGCTCAACAATTATGAAAAAATAGTAAAAAGTATAACAGTAAAAATATTATGTTATAATGGTATAACAGATATGTGTATTTACACTGTTAATTAAAGCAGGATAATCAAGACGGGGAAAATTGTATAGAGCTTCATTATCATGTAGGGGACAGAAGGAAACGGAATTTAAGGAATGATGGAATGGTATGGAAGGGACCTAACCTAAGTCTAGATTAATAAAAAATGATATTTCTGAGTAACACATGGTTATAAAACCATAATAAATGAGCAATGGAAGAAGATATCAAGCGATACCAACATGTAGTTTTCAATTTTACTGCAGACCAGCTGTCTTGCCAAGCTTGGAAAACTGTTTACTGAAAGAGGCGAAGAAAGTCAAAGCGAGAATTTTATAGGTGGAAGGAGTAAAGATGTTTCAAAGTGGTCAGTAGTTTCCAATATACCGGCGTGGTCCGACACACAATAAAATACAATTCATTTATTCTGGGTTGGAAATTAAGTAGATAAATGATTTAATAATAATGTAAGGAGAAAGATGAATTTAAAATAGATTAGATGTAATGGTAATTAGACAAGATAGTAAATTTAAAAAAAAATCAAATTCATTGAAGTAGAAAATATAAAAATGAGAGCATTAATGATGGAAAGGTATCCATTGTAAAAAAATAAGAAGATAGGTTGAGTACAGCCGAGTATGAAATATTAAGTTTAAAAATAAAGAAGAGCAACCAGTTGATAAAGTACCATTAGTGAATATCGAGCATTTAATTAAAAAATTTGACGAGATATAATTTTTAAAGATAATATTAATAAAAGTTTCGGAAAGAGAACGGAGGATTGAAGGAGAGAAGCCGAAGAAACACGTATTACACACTATGATAGTTAGTGTAAGGGCAAATAGAGGACAATCGAATAGAAGTAATCTGGAGTGCGACTTGTATATGTAACTGACTATGAAGAACAGAGAAGAACATACTGAGGCCAATATTGACTGCGTTTTAGGCATGTAGAAACTATTACATAATTTAGAGTATAAGTAGTAGATACGATGGTTATGTGTATTAGATAAATTTTAGGAGAAATTTATTAGGAAGCAAGTGGCAGCAGATTTTGAGGGGGAGAAGAGTACTCAACAAAAATACTGTTACTCGGGATTGACTTAAGAACACGAAGAATGCTGAGTAAGCATGCAAATAAAAATTTTTATTAGATGATGCACAAATAAAAAACGGTTAAATAATATATGTTGTGATACTACCCTTGAAAAAATCTTGCTTAAACTATTGCACTTGTAAACCTTAATTTATAAAGAGTATCAGTATCACTACATTACTTTTGACAGTAATTCAAAATGTCGCCTTAAATACATTTGGAAAATATTTTAATAATAAATTTATTTATTATGAAATTAGTAACAGCGATTACACTGAAAAAAATTGCTTATAAAATTTGTAGTTTGTAAATAGTTAAACTTAAAAAAGAAACAAATTATTAGTTATTCAATTATTAATTCCAATTAATATTTTATAAAATAAATTACTATAAATAGGTATTTATTCATATTTACCCAAAGTTCGATGGATAATTGTAAACACATCGGGCAAATTTAAAATTAACTTATAGTTTTTTACACATACATTTTTTTGTGTAAACTTCAAAATGTATATTATAATAGGAATAAAGGACTAAAATTCCATTAAAATTTTCAGAATAACCGTCTAGTTTACTGGACACCTCTTTCTACATTTTTTTTAAAATGTTTTTTTAAAACTGTTTGAAAAAATTAGCGGAAACAATTGGTTTTAAAGTTATAGTATCTTGAAGTTGCCGGGTCGACAAATCAAAAATATGCCAAAAATATCATAAAGTTATTGAATATTACAGATTTTACACGAAATAAAAAACAAAACCGAGCACAATGCAGAATGGCCTTTCTTTTTTATAACTTATTAAAAAGAAATAAATGATTGCTAAAACAATTAAAGATTATTTCGCCTACTGACTCTGGTTACCAGTTCGAGTCCCTACATTTCTCTTACGAGAAAGGGTTTACACCCTAAAATTCAAAAAGAAAAAAGTCTAGCCTAATTCTAATCAATTAAAACCCTTTGGAATGCAAAGTACAGTGACCCAATAAGTCCAAATCGCCACAGGAAACGGCATTAAAATTTATGAGTATAAACAGAAATCATTATTGAAAATAAACTAAAAAAACTTTGTTAAAACATTTTTGACTTGTTATAGATTAAATGATTGCGGTTATAATCATCTATTAAACGGTTAAACACTATTAAATTTGTTGACCCTGAAGCTGAGGCATATTCAAATACAATAGATACACTTTGCATCATGCCAAGGTATTCCTCCATGGCTATTGGCGTAAAAAAATTCTATGCTGATTATCTTGCAAAATATATGTTTTTGAAAAAATATAAATATACTATCCATATTTTCTGAGATGAACTTTAGCGATAAGAAGGAAGAAGAAAAAGGAGAGTAAAAATATACAAATTATTTAAATTATACTTAAAAATAAAATAATAAACTTAATACAAAAAAAAGCCCACTGCTAATAATAATAGCAACTTTTATAGATATTGTAATCGATCGTAATCGATAAGAAACAATTCATATCTAATATATAAATAAATCAAATGTATTAAAACGAGATCAGAAAATAATGACGGTTTTTATGTAAAATTCGATATGAAAATAACTCATCATTTTATAACGCTGTAACTTTGGAATTACTTGTTTTCACTCAATATTTTTTACATATTATTTATTTAAAATAAAAATCTATCTATTTAAAACAAAAATTAGTTAAAAAACAGAGTTTTCCCTGTAGATAGGGGATTAGAATACTTCCATGGCACCTCTGTCAGTTGTAAGAGGCGACTAATGAGGTTGTATCAGGTTGACAGCCAGCGTAAAAATCTTTGTCAAAAAAATATGAGGAATCCTGAACAAAACTTAGGCGGATTGTCCCATCTCAGATGAACGCGGGGACAACAGAAAGTAGTTAAAAACGGAGAAGGCCTAAGGAATAACGTATTTGATACCAGCCTGACAACTTGTGCGGTAGCTGTTTCACCAGTCATGTGTACAGGTCTACCCAACGTTTGTAGTGTCAACGGTGTAGGGACATCACCACTTAACTCTAGGCTGGACTCGTGTATAAGGGAGAAAGATAGATACAAAGTAAGAATAGGTACTTGGAATGTTGGAACATTAACTGGTAGAAGTGAAGAATTAGTAGAAGTATTGAAGAGGAGAAAAGTTAACATTTGTTGTGTGCAGGAAACTAAGTGGAAAAGAGAGAAATCGAGGGAAATAGATGAGGGTTATAAAATAATATATTCAGGTAAGTCTAGTACAAAGGATGGTGTAGAGATAATAATTGATGAGGTGATGAAAAGTAAAGTAGTAGAAAGAAGTAGCTAGGAAAAGTGACAGAATTATGGTCGTAAAATTTATATTAGAAGAAAAAGTGCTGAATTTATTAAGTGTCTATGCACCACAAGTGGGATGTGATGAAATAGAAAAGGAAATGTTTTGGTTAGAGATTGATGAGGTGATGCAAGGGGTACCTGGCAATGAAGATGCGGTGATAGGTGAAGATATGAATGAACATGTAGGTGATGAGAGGAGAGGATATGAAAGAGTACATAGAGGGTATGGTTTTAGTGGGAAGAATGAGGCTGGGGAAAGAATCTTGGATTTCGCAAAATCGTATGATTTTACTGTGGTTAATACTTATTTTAGAAAAAGGGAAGAACATTATATAATATATAAGAGTGGGACTAATAAATCACAAATCAAATATTTTATGTGGAAGAAAGAGAGAGAGAATAAACAAAAATTGAAAAAACACGGGGGAAAAATCGAAGATCCGGTGGTGAAAATTGAAAGGGAAAATGAAAAAGAGTTTGTAAAGACGATAAAAAAGATGACGGTGTGGATGTCGAGGAAGACATAAATGATGTGTGGAATATATATGCTAGTTGTGTAAAGAATACTGCAAAGGAGATTGTTGGTGAGAGTAGGAGTAGAATGCCAGGAAACAAGGAAACCTGGTGATGGGATGAGGACGTTCAAAAAATCATAGAAAGTAAGAAAAAGCAATTCAAAGTATGGCAGAAGAGCAAAAAGAGAGAAGACTGAATAGAGTATAAACGCTTGTGCAAAGAAGCCAAGTGTGCAGTAAAAAGACGGAGTTTAAGAGGTATGATAGGCCAGGAACAAAGGAAGGCGAGAAAGAAATCTATAGACTTGCAAAGATAAGAAAGAAAAGGTCTAAAGATTATCATTATAAAAGGTGTATAAAAAGTGTTGATAATAAGGTACTCTCAAGTGATGATGATGTGAAAAAAAGGTGGAAAGAATATTTTGAAAAATTACTGAATGAGGAGTATCCAAAAGAGACGTCAGAGGATATCTCGTGGAACGAGAGACTGGTAGATTTAATTAGTGAGAAAGAAGTATGGGAGGCTGTGACATCAATGAAAAAGAATAAAGCAGTAGGACCAGATAAAGTGCCAGTAAAAATATGAAAATATTAAGCGGTGTTGGAATAAGGTGATTGAAGGAACTTTTAAATAAAATCTTATTCATTAGATTTATGTAAATTGATATAATGTATTAATTTTAATACCCAAATAATTAATATTATGTTATATATTTAGTTTTTGTGACTATGCATTTAAAAAATTTGTTTGGAATATTTCTGAGACGGCTAAATCTGTAAAAAAATGATCATAAATGTATACATTACCACAGAAATATTTTTGTTCTGGAGGGAGTGATCCCCATACGTCTCTTAAAATTTAATTTTTAATTAATATACACAGTTAAGTGTTTAAAAAAATAACATGGGTATCATTAATGTACTCTGGATGACTAAAATTAACTTTATAAATGCATAAAATCCTGAGTGTATTTTATGAGTTGACATGGGCGATTGCTTCTCCTAGATTACTACTATTCATATTTTATAGAGCCGATATTAATATTACAAGTTGTGTAAGACATTTTTTTAATCATCGTTATTTTTAGAGAGTACACTCTTGTTATATTTAAGGTGCTTTAGAAATATATTTTTACTATAAAATTAAAAAATATAATTTAAAACTCATATTAAACTATTATTTTCATACAATTTTTTGAAAACAAGTTTTTTTTTTAATAACATCACATGTATGTAGTTGATAAAAACATGGCGTAAACAAATTAAAGATTGAAATATTAATTACACCAATCAAAAACAGACAAACCTTCATACACAATAATGAGAGTTCATTTTTCCATTGTATTTTGTATAAATATAAATTGATCATTATTGTCAAACCAATCATTTTTAGTTGGAATTATGCTCAATTTCATCAAAAGTGATCATGAATATATAGGATTTTAGTTAAACATTATCTCTAGTAACTATATATTATTAAACAGTTATAAATTTTTTTTCTTTAGGATGCAAATTACTTTTTTACATCGTAGGATCTATGTTAAATACTTTGTAAAGATTACATAAATTTATGTGTAAAGCTACACGTCCGTTGTAAATAGACTTTATAACCTACTTAAATATTCTCTTTGATATGGTTTTATACGAATATGTTTTTATGTTAGCATTTGAAAAAAATAATGGGTTGATAATTTGTACATTTTTTGAATCTATCATAAGTTACAACAGTTTTGTGAATTTGTCAATTGCCTATTAGTAAGATAACTTGTACGCGTAACCCATACAAATGGAAATATAAGTATAATGTAAAACGATTTTGGTTGAGTATTATTGTAACATAGTTGGCTTCCATTCAAGTGGCAGTACGCAATAGTATCAAACACTTAGTCAACAGTATATGACCACTTATCACTTTGTACTTAATTTTTTCAAATTTAATAAATACCATTTAATGAAGTCAAAAAGTGTATACTCATCATATTGTACATTATATAGCCTAATTATAAAATTATTAATAGGTATTACTGCTAGAAACTATAAAGCTATAATTGAATTTATTAAAAAGTTTAATATATTATAATATTGATTAACACTTTGGCAAATTGTTTTTGGAAAAAAACGAAATGTTATAATTTGAATAGATTGTTTACTATTGCAGTGAAAGGTTATATTTAGTAAATAAACTATTCGTTTCTCATTAATATTAATGATTGTTTAAAATCACGTATAAAAGCCCAACAAGAATTTAAAACTTTAGGAATGGTTTACAAATGACTCCAAAGAAAAACACAAATTTCAATGGCTTTGACAATAAAATTCTAATCAGAAAAAAAATTATACTTGATTTATTTTTGAAATAATATTACATTTTTTTTTTTTTTGTGAAATAATTTATTATAAATTAAAGTAATCTAAAATAGTCTTAAATAAAAAAAAATTTAAAGAAAATAATATTAAAGTCAATCTATTATAGTGATCAAACGTCAAACATCCAAAAAATATAGGCGTATGACGAATTTTTAAATACAATATTAGTTAATATACTCGGAGAACATTTTCCTATTAATATTTTTAATACCATTTCATATTTTTTTCAAGAAAAACGAACATTTTTACAATTAATACAATCTTCTTGAGGAATAACTTTTTTATATTTAAGTTGTATTAAATGCAAAAAACATTTATTGCAGAATTAGAAATTTTTCGACATTTTTTATTGTGTAATTTTTAGTCATCCACTAAAATAACACGTTTTCAAAGAAAAATTATTTTTTACTTTTATGAGTACATAAGCCTTTATAGTCTCGACATTAAAAATATTCTTTAAAATATTTTGACTTACATTAAAAAAATACGGGAACGCCCTCTTTTTTTATAGGAACAACAAATTAATACTTTTGCATGGAATGTAATCTATCAGACTATAAGTGTATTATCACCCTCCAATTTAAATTTATGAAAGTCTTGATTTTCATAATGTCTTTTTCCATTTTTTTTATCGCCAATTCAAAGTTTCTATTTACGGGTGTCATGTGAAATCAATCTTTTAAAATACACACATTTATTTTAAGAATAACATAGAACACCTAATATAAATCCTATGTAAATAAATATGCTTTGCCATCATTCATTATTAAGTGTTACTTTTGACTTATCAAAATATTTTTATTGAAAATGACTTCTTTCCTAATGATTCGATTTACTATAGAGTCAATGTATATAAAAGTAAAAAGAATGTTTAAATTATATTCAATCCCTTATTTGGAGGCGATCCAACGTAAAGGCGACGAGAAGAGCTATACAATTTTCCAGTCCGCCAAGAAAAGTATATAGGGTGTGAGGAAACATGCGTTGGGCGTGTGGTATACCTTGGCACGAAAAAGAAATACCTTTTAATACAAAGATAAAATCCTCTATAGAACAGGCGAGGGCTGAAGCGAAACGGCTCTGAGCATAAGGAAGATAGGCCGGAATTGAGAAGCTCAAAGAAGCGAGGTTGACACTTTTATCGAACCGTTTGTTTTTTTTTTATCCTACGCTAGGGGTTGTACGTTAACATTTATCACCAAAATTATAGTGGTCGCGGTTGTCCGGTCAAAGTGTTTCCGTAATAATATTCTCGTCAACTTGAAAAATAAATGCTTAAAGTTATGTAGGTCAATAGGCTCTTGAAGATTAAACGTGTACCTTCATAGCATTCTGTAAAATTATTTTCCACCCTTCAATTTTTTTTTTTTTACTGTTTTATATTCTAGTACTAATCGAATAAAAAATATTAAGAAAATTTTAATCATATTTATGGTTGTAATATATTGCAAAATAAAATTTGAAATTAAAAAAACTAATAAAAATCAACTAAGATTTAAATTAATTATTGAGACCTTTGTAAAATCGCCACTTATTTATAAATATTATTTTTTATATCAAAATTTTACATTTGAATATCATTATAAAGATTTCAGTACTATTATTTGTGATGTATTAATAATGTATTTTGAATTGAAGAATTTCATTGGAGTATTGTTTTTACAACTACAGCATCAATATAAATCTTGTGAAATAACATATGTTATACTATGTTATTTCTGTGTATTCATATGAAAAAACTGGTATTTTATTTACAAGCTCATTTTTCTAATAGTTTTAATGTTATCAATCGAATACCTGGAAACCATCATACGTCCATGATCCGAACTTTAATACACACGTTTGCTCATCGAAAGGAAAATATTCAACGTCTATTTCACATGAAGACTTATAAATGGCTGGTGGCTTCCAAACTACTTTGCCTGTGTAGTGGAGAATAGCTTTGGTTGCTAAAGTTACTTCGAAATTTCCGTCCGCGCTAAACATAAAGTACATTCTAAGAACTTGGTGAAATGCTACTAAAATATTAATTTCATCATCTATTGTATTTTTCTATTTATTATAATAAATAGAAATGATTATTGTATTAAAATGTAAAAATTTATCACTAACTTACTTGTTATAGAGAACAATGTCTGGTCTCCACAAATTTTCTGAAGGAACGTGTAAACCTTCAACTCCACCATACTCTTTAGGATTCCAAGCTAGCTTGTAATCATACCAGTTCTGTGAACCGAAAGATTAATAAAAATATTTACAACTCTTAAACTTTAATCACTTCTAGACTCTTTTAATTAATAGATTTAAAAAATAATTTAAATATGAATTATGAAGTAAAATAATTTTTAGTAATTGAGTATTATAGTTAATAATATCTTACTTGTTCCACCCATAGATTTGTAGTCATTATTTGATGTTTCAAGTTCTAAGATCAATAATAAAAATTAAAATATGTACGAAATAACGTCATGGTTCTTTCTAACATAAGCAATAGATAAATTTTTATAAAGAACATTAAACAAGATTACAATATAAAATAATAAATTTAACTGTAGTAAATAGGTTTTTCTTTTTTTTTTTTTTTGAGGGGGGGGGTAAATGTAATGAATCATTTACCCTTAAAAATTGTTTATATTCACATTAATCGTATAAAATATCTTATGAATTTTGAAAAATAAAAAAAAATATTAATGGGTAAACATGTACGAGACGCTTTGTCGTCAACTTATCTTTGTCTGAGAAAACGTTAACACAGCTTCCTACTTCCGCTATAAATAATGGGAAATATCTTAGGAGTACCAAAAAACAGATAGGAATTTCTTTTGCTGCGTGTCAACTAAGTTGAAGAATACTTGTTAATACTTGTTATTGTATTACAATAATATAAAATGATTTTGATAATAATTATTATTTTATGTGGACCAATGGTCTGGGTACTATGTTCGTAATTAAATGTAATAATGATTAAAATCATCCGAAATATTGAATGGTTATTTTAGGGCTTTTACTCCAAGGACTTTTCTGAATTTCATACATGTTGCTTATGAAAAGTAGTGTGTCAACTCTTTATGTAAAATATTTTATTTTAACGCTCTATAAGCCCAAAGGAGGAGGTTTCTTAACCATTGATATTTCGCGACGGGTGGTTATTCGTCGTTGGAGAGAGGGATGATGACTCCAATTACCGAACTGATCTCTCGCTCAGCAAATGAAGCCGCCCGTGACCGAGTTTCGAACTCGAGGCAATGCACGTCAAGCACTGCCGCGTTACCGACTCGGCCACACCATTCCTCTTGAAATGATAATAGTATCTATATAGGTTTTTTTATAGTAGATACAATTGTGTAATAATAAAAATGAGTTTATATTAAAGTGTCATTTGAGTTTTATGGCCTTATAGAGTACAGTATATACTGTTACTTTTATTATATTTCTTTTTGTAGCGAATTTAACGAGATAATCAAGTAAAATGAATTTTGCATTTGTATAAATACTAAATTTGCAATAGAGCAATTGTTACGATAGATAGATTATGCGAATATAATGTACAGTAAATTTACTCTAAAAATGACCCATTTGTATTTCACATTTGGAGTCTTACAAAACATGTATATGCGAATGAAAATAAATGTTAGAATAACTTTCTGAAAGATTTATTCATGTGAAGGATACTTTGGAAACTATTAGGTTATGTTAGAAATAACAGTTTATAACTAGTCAAACACTCGTAAATTGAAACTATGAATGTTGAATAAACTGTAAAATTACATGGACAGTGGATTTGTGAAATCAAGTCAAGTATGCAAGTTAGGTTAATAATTTCAATGATGGATCGTTGAACACGTCAAAAGCATTACTAGTAAAGGGTTCTAATGTATGAATTTATCGTGAATAATTTTCCCGTCAGTTATATCTCAAAATATAGAATAGTATGTTGTGTTTGTTGTTAATTCTATTTTTATCGTTAAACTACAATACATTTGTATTTCCATCTAAATATGATCATTTAACAATTTTATCGAACTATTAATAATTAAGTCAAAATTAAAATATTTATTGTTAACTAAAATATATATTAAAATGTAAATATTGTTTTATTTTAAAGAATACTTACAATGTCAATTAATTGAGATAATTTGATTTTGATTTTTACGGCTAATGGTTCACTGTTATTGATTACAGGTCTCACAAGTTTGTTGTAATTTGATAAGAGATCGTCATACAACCTTTTAGCGTCTTGGTTCATCAAATACCCTTAAAACCGCATAAACGTAATTATCAAATTTGGATCACATACACACGTATGAATTACTTTTTTAGTGAACATAGTTTATAAATATTACATGTATTATATCCATATGAAATCTATTTTGACGCTGAATTATACGATTTTTAGCTTCGATGCGAAGCTGAGAAGGTATTGGTTTTACTAAGATGTGTTTTTTTTTTT